TGCTGCACCAATTTTGGTGCTTCTGGGCCCATGAAAAACGGCACATATCAGTGAGTCACGGCCGCGCCGGCCGCGCCAAGCCACAGCTATTAGGGCGCAGCGAGGCGGAGCCCCACGTGGAGGGGTCTGGGGAGCGCTCTCCTCTGTGAAAACTTGGAGATAAATCTAACCGCGCGGAGCCGGGCGCGGGACGGCCCGTAAATCATCCCCTTTTCTGAGAACCTCTGGAACTCTCGTCTAATTTTCCAGGAACGAGTGCGAGGCTGCCAAGGCCGCGGGGGTTTGAACAAGCGCGAGGCAGCGCCTTCGGGAGCCCTGGCGGCGTGGCCGGGCCCGTCCCCCGTGACACAGGATCCCTGGGAACGGCCACCATGTGTCCCCAGCTGCCGGGCTCCCCAAGGGCGGCCCCAAGCCGCTGGGGCGGCCGCAGCAGCTGCCATGTCCATCAAGCGGGCGCTGGCGCTCACCGCGTTCCTGCCATCTCCGGGTGGACAGGCAGGAAACCGAGACGCCAGGGGGAGGGGGGCACAGAGAGGGCCTCTGTCCTGGGCCCGCCCTGAAGGGCTGCTCTGTGGCAGCTGCAGAGACGCTGCTGACTTTCAGGAGGGCTCCTGGGGGAAGCTGCTCCCGTCGGTCCCCAGTGCCGGGCAGTGGGTGGGGGAGTGCCCTCGGGCCCACGCCAACCATCGGGGCCCAGCAGCTGCACAGAGTCGGACCCGGGGCCGTGGGTGCAACAGGAGCTGACGCGGCCAATGGGGCAAGGTGGCCACGGCCTCTTTAAGAGCAAGGCAGGGATCACCCAGGAGGCAGAGGGCCGCGCCTGGGCAGGGCTCACCCACTCCACAGGCCCGTGAGTCACCCACACACGTCACGGGTCTGCTAAGGTTTTCGCCCTCTTTTCTGGCATGAAACCCACTTTGGCTCGGTCTCAAGTTCAGTGATTACAATGAACAGTCTTCCTAATCTTCGGCCTTTCTTCGAAGGTTTGTTTCACTTTGACACCAAATAAATGACAAAGGCCTCCGCCCGCCCGGGATGCTCATCCCGGACACACTCACAGGCCAGGCCGGGGAGGGAAAGCAGGTCCCAGCCGTGTGAAGACCGGGGTCAGGGTCAGAGCACAGGGGGGCCTTCACACGGGGCTCCTGCTAAACGGGGAGACCCAGGGAGAGGCGCCACGTCCTCTGGGCGGGGAAGGGCTGAGGAGGCTACGCTGAGGTTCCCGGGTCAAGTCCAGAGCCCCAGGGCCCTCTCCCGACACAGCCCGCTGCCCTGCACAGTGAAACCCAAGCTCCATGT